TATATATATATATTGACATACACACACACACAAAATCCAGTCACTATTCAGTAAGAGAAAAGTCCCTTGTAGACAGTCTCTGCAAAAAGAAGAAGTCTGTTAGCTGAGAGTATTTTAAGGAGATAAAATACCAGGCTGAATCAATATCAAAAATTGTGCAACACAAATACAATTTAATTGCAGATGTAACACATTCTTGTTAAAGCACAGAAGCTCTTCTATCCCTTAACAATGCATAATCCAATTTGATTCCCACAGTGAAACCAAGCCTTGTGGCAGTAAAAGTAGTAGAGACACACAAGACAAGATGAGTATCACAATACAAAATCATTAGATTCTGTCACTTTCAAATGTGTTTGAATTTCATAGATGGGACTTCACAATTTACATAAATATAAATATACTATTAACCTTCTTATGACACATACCGTGAGCAATTTTTCATTCTTATAACATGATCCAATCCTCCTCCAAACAACCACACGTTAAAAACAAACGCACAAGCACAACATTCATTCCTTTCAGCTCTACTCTATCGAGATAAAACAAAGTATATAAACTGAACTGGGAGGTGCTCACTGGATAAATATGACTATGAATGCCTCAGAATATGTGAATGTTTTTACAGAAAGTGAGTGATGTGATTAATTTCTATTGTAATTTTGTGACATTTTACTTTAAATGTATACGAGATGGTGAGTTAAGGCAGGTGTAAAACGTAACCACAGTTAGTTTCCATAAGCCATTTGGATAAAAATTTATATTCATTTGAAGACGTTCTGGTTTTAAATAAACCGGACCTCTTTCCGAGGTTTGGCAACTTAAAAACATCTACTTCTTTTGTCTTAATCATTCATACGAATCACTTTTACATCCCCGTCCATCCATTTTCAGGTTTCCATGTTTGAGTGTCTCTTTACATCGACAAAGTGATCACTGTTCCTCAAGCCACGATGGCTTGTCAGAACCCGGTGGCTTCAATTTCACATTGAACTGTCTGAGAGTCTGTTCCAGCTGCTGCTGGTTTCCAGCGAAATACGCAGAGACAGCATTATGAAACAGTAGGAGCTGTTTGTGCATCACCTTTACCTGGAAATCAACATACACAAAACTATTGACAAAACTCAGTAATATCTTTGACTCATGAAATAAAACAGGTGAACAACATGGTACCTTATTCTCCTCCAAGAACTTGAGTTTGATGCTGACATCACTGTGCAGTCGTTCATACTTGTCTTTATGGATTTGGTACTGCTGTTGAGCCATCTCAATGCGCACCATGGCTGCAGCATCCCGCGGACCCACGCTCAACTCCTCCAGGTCGGTCCTGTAGGCATCAAACTCCAGTCTGTAACAATAGCACCAGTACTCATTAGTATAAACTGATTCAATAAACCTACTGTATATAACTAATCCTAGGATAAAAAAAAGAAAATAAATTCCAGGAAACCTCCTAGACATACAGCTGTGAATCCTTTGATATCATTAATTAGAGCTGTCAGATTAAGTTGCTGTGAAAATGAAAATTGTCATTTACTCGTCACGTTGATACAAACTTGTATGACTTTTTCTACTGGGAAACATAACAAGAATCATAAGCTCACAGTTTTCCACTGTGTGGACCAAAAATACATTTCTTAAAATACATTCCTTTATGGTCCACAAAATAAAGAAAGTGATAAAGGTTCAGAGCGACATGAGAATGAGTAAATGAAGACCTAATTTTAATCTTTGGGTGAACAATCCCTTTGAATTTTTATTCAAATTATACAAATAAATTATACAAAATTAAACACACACACACACACACACACAAGCCACCCTGATCCATTAAACTGCTTTTACCTTGACAGGTTAAAATGTGATTCTTATGATGCATGTTGTTAAAAAAAAGAAAAGAACAAGAGATGAATCAGCCTGAATGTGTTGTGCGTGAATGACGACTTCAGACAGATTGACAAACTCATTGCAAAACAAATTCCAGTGATATGCTTATGTTAAATGATGTTGAAATAAAGCAATGCATTGACTTGTTAAGCCCTTTTTTGTAATATACATTCAATGATATACTTGTCTTCTGCAATAAATGTAAAAAGTCTTTGACCCATCTTCATTTGTGGGTTTTCTTAGCAATCATATACTGTATATATATATATATATATGTTGTGATGTCATGCTAATTTGACTGATCAACCTGTATATCGTGTAATTAATTTGTGAACTTTTTGTCAGTCCTAATCTAAACTTGTTTAAGGAGCTATTAACACATTACTCATGTAACATGTAACTCATTAACATCAAACCTCTGATACCTTGCACTCTCATATATCTTGATGGTCATGAGTGTGTCCTCCATGGTTTTGTTGACTAGTGTATTAATGCTGGACACAAAGAAATTGATGGCACCCAGGAGCGTCTCTCCATTCTTGCATAGCAGTCTTTGCGTCTCTGCATTATAGCCAAACTCATCCTGAAAAATTCAAATGAAGTTTAAATTAAGGCTAACATTATTTATAAAGCTATTAAACTATCAAATAGAGTAAAGGCATATTAGATGGTTATATTAAAATTGTCACTAAATTAGGAAACCACTGCACCAAAACTACTAATACTGTATTTTAGTGGAACTCAAATTTTCAAACATTCTGAGAAAAATGTATAGTCTGGAATGTAATGAAAGCAAAATCTACTCTAGATTAATGTTTTAGTTCAAATTCAATCCATTTAACCATGAAATAAAATCATTTTATGAAAAATACAAAATATAGGTAAATTGTAACAGATAAGCACAGTCCTGCAACGGAACAGTGGATATCATTTTGGACAGTACGTTTTTTTTTTCTTTTTGCCATGCCGGAAAAAATACATATAAGGAAAGTGTTTTTAATTCGTTCTATTGTAAAAATCATTTAAAAATGGTACACTATGTTAAGATTCATTGTTGGTATGTAACCAAATATAAATTCGCCCAACACTGCAGCCACAGAGCAGGGACAGAAAATTATTAGTACCTGCAATTCTGGTGATTTCTGGCTAAGATCAGCAAAGGTGTCTCCAAGAGCCTGCTGAGTCTGCACCATGTTGTAGAAGTGGTTGGTGAGCTCACGTGCTAGTCTCAGAATATGCTCGTACTTCATTTTAGTCTCTCTTAGCACATCAATCTGAGCCTCAAGCTCCATGTCCACAGTCTTCGTTCCACGACCGAAGTGCTCCGAAAACATCTGTTTTGTGCACTGGTAAAGAAAGGACAGCAAGAGATACATATGAATCCCTTCATAGTAGTGTTGGGTTCGAGTCCACCTAAGTCGAGTCCGAGTCTTTAACCAATCGAGTCCGAGACAAGTCTGAGTCCAAAATGGGCCGAGTCGAACTCAAGTCCGAGTCCCAAACAGCCGAGTCCTAGTCCAATGAAACTCTATTATTTATTAGTATCTTAACATTGTTTTAACCTTTACAACTAGAAAAACGCAATGTAACAAAAGCAAACCTATATTGCATCTTGCCATTTTGATTTTCGATTAATAATTAGTGTTCTGCTTTGCTTAGCAAACTTAAAGTCATGTAACAGAAGTTATGGCTGAATTAATTTATGTATTGTGACATATTTTAGAGTGAAAAGGGTTTTAGAATGTGAAAAATTAGGGCGGGACTTGACTTTATTCATCAAGTAAATATATAAATTCAAGGGTTGGGGGTAAAGGAGTAGGTGAATGGGAGCTTAAGAGGAGAAAATGCACCTTTTATCTCGATTAAAAAAACAAGCTTTATATTATTTTTTACGATTTTTAATGAAATATGAATTTTGAATAATAACCTTTACAACTAGAAAAACGCAATGTAACAAAAGCAAACCTATATTGCATCTTGCCATTTTGATTTTCGATTAATAATTAGTGTTCTGCTTTGCTTAGCAAACTTAAAGTCATGTAACAGAAGTTATGGCTGAATTAATTTATGTATTGTGACATATTTTAGAGTGAAAAGGGTTTTAGAATGTGAAAAATTAGGGCGGGACTTGACTTTATTCATCAAGTAAATATATAAATTCAAGGGTTGGGGGTAAAGGAGTAGGTGAATGGGAGCTTAAGAGGAGAAAATGCACCTTTTATCTCGATTAAAAAAACAAGCTTTATATTATTTTTTACGATTTTTAATGAAATATGAATTTTGAATGATCAAGATTAGTTTGTGTCTGCTTATTCTATTCATCAGCGTTTGAACCATTAAAGAAGAAACTGCATTTTAATTTCTAGGTAAAAAAAAAACAAAACGAAAAATAAATGGACGCCAAAGTACACGGACTCCTTAGACAGGGCATTTTGAATTTTTTCTTGGATGAAAATGAGGCTGTGAGGGATAAACCTAATCTGTACAATGGCACACACGGTGTATAAAAGCTCTACACTTTCCATAAGTCACAGGCTCAAATATTTTGACACATCTGTATTTCTCTCAACTGTTCAAGTTCACTTAAAGGTGAAGCCCTGAAATGCTTAGAAACACGCAGCGTTACTCTTATGTGTTGACGTCATTTTAACTGAAACAGGAAGACAGGGCGGGACATATCAAGCAGCCCCGCCCCTTTTTAAAATAGCCAATAGCGTTCGTTCATATCACAGCTTGGGCTAGAGCCGTTCAGAGCCATTGAGCCCAATAAAGCCGTATTGGACAGGTTATGCCAGCCACAATCTCATCCATATTGCTATAAAATATAGCATTCTGTGTAGAATTCAAATAGCTCCGATACATTTTGTGGTCTGCGCTGACTCGCGCATGTGATCCGCTCGTGCTATCGTTTTATCTGGAGCAGAGTGTGTGTGCGGTGCGGTGGTTAGCGTGACACAGCACTAAACCAGACTTATTTTTTATTTCTTATGAACCTTGTGTGTAATCAGACCAATAGATGGGCGAGACGTCATGGTCGGGTGACGTAGTGACCAGGAAGCTATAAAAGCATGTGCGGTGAGACCAGCTGTATCTAACTTCTCATAGTCAGAAAATACTTCATTTTATTCCTCAGAATTAAATGCATTCAACAAACAGAGGGGTAAATACGGTCAGGTGAGTAAGATTTACATCGAAATCGAATGACGTAATATACGCGTGCCTCACACCAACAACATCAATCTCCTCAGAAAAAGATGGCCGCATCAGCAAGCTCTCACTCAGGGGGAAGAACCGCAGCGCGGGCTTCCAGCCTCGAGAACAAGCTTTAGATCTAGGGAACACGGGTGGAGATAGGACGAGCCGTCTACATTCCCTCCACCGGATCCATACGCGAAACCCACGAGCACAGCCGCCGCTCCGCCTCGGCGAAAGCGGGACCGGCGCCGGGCGCAACGCTAGTGAAAGCT